TATATTCTCTTCTTCAGAAACAACTACGTACAATCAAGACAGCAAACAAATAATGAGTTCAGAACAAAAAAGTAAATTTTCTAGCGAGAAATTTTCTTGTATATCATTGATAATTGTTGTTCGTAGGTGACAAGACTGCATTAGCAGCTGCTATCGCCAAAGCTCATATAACTGGTGATGATACACCAGACATTGATCCACGTAAGAAAGCTGATAGAGAAAATCAAGGTTGGCTTTCAGGTGATCAATTTACAATTGCTGAAACTCCTGTTGCTCATATCAATTCAACAGTTGGAACCAAAGAATAAAACATTGTATCATTGAATGAATAACTATTGATTTGTTTTTTATATAAACAAGCATTTTAACTTATTATGTGCATGTTCCAACATTTTCTATATGAAGTAAATCTTATCTATTAATCTAATTAAATCTTTGTTTCGCATATTTTATGTATCGGTCAACAAAATATTATTAAAATTGATTTTTCTTTGTGGTACGTTAAGAACAGGAAAAAGCAAAAACTAAAAATTCAGATAGATATTTTATATTCAATCCAACAATGTTGTGCCCAATTATTGACTTTATCATCGTATATTCAATGTTCCCAAGCGATATGAGAAAAATTAATAGTACGCAGACAAGACAATATATGCGACTGTCAGATGTCATTCGACTTTATATTATGTCTATGTTATTAAGATAGGTGCATTTCTGAAAGATTAAAAACAGAGAATTTTTATCTACAAGCTTAATTAGCAAAAGTCGGTGGTGGACCTGAATTCTTTTAAGCTTTTCTCACTATCATAGACATAATATGAAGTCGAATGACATCTGACAGTTACATATATTGCCTTGTCTACGAACTATCAATTTTCCTTACATTGCTTGAGAACATTGAATATACGATGATAGCTTTAGGCGTCGAATCAATAAAAAATCCGCACCCACAAACTTTTAACTTCAAATAAATGTTTTATACGCACGTGTTCATAAATTATATCATAGATTAGACGACGTTCAATCACAATTAATCAAACGATTAAAAACTAACTATCATAGTGTTCAGAATAAATCCAAATCCAATTGCCATGAATGGATAAAGTCATTTTTCTCGGCCTTAATTTCATTAATGATTGATATATGTACAATAGTTATTAGAATTTTACAACAAAAAAATTTTCTATGCAACAATGAAAATGACAAGTAGGACATTTACAAAAAGAAACTGTATTTGCAACATATCTTGAATGATATTTCGAAACTTTTACTATTAGAAAACTAACCAATTGACTGTTACATTGATTTGTTCAAATTTTTCAAGTTCAACTATATACAAGGCATTAGTTTTCTGCACACTATTGACACAGACATGATGTAAATTCACGTTTTTAAATAAAACTAATTGCAATAATACAAAGTTTTACTCTGTGTATTTTTTAGGAGCATCATTGATAGAATGTGATCTTACCGGTGCTCTTTCAGCTGAAAACAGCTCGTCTCAAATTTGTTTTTTTCCCTACAAAAGTTATTATCAACCGATAAACATACATCAAATATTAATGTTACGTTTTAAAGTTACTCTATCTACACATAAGTGCGTATTCATTACATCTTCCGAATACATATAGTGCATTCTAAATCATAATCACTAAGAGAAAGAAGATCACAATATTGTTGGTTATGGTTCATATGTTTTCTAATATGATTCTATTTTCTAGTGTTAATCAGACAATTTCTCTTTTCTTGTCCTTTTATACTTTGTTAAACTTTATTTTTTAGGAACTCACAATGGATCGACAACATGTCCAATCTTTAAAAATTTCCAATATAGTTTATTCTGCTGTTCGTAGTGTTCAAATTCTAATCACATTTGTATCTACGGTAAACATTAATGTTAGTAATGTAACTATCAACGAACACTATTGTATATGGGACAATGTGAAATTTTTAATTATCAAATCATGATAATTACTACAAAATGACGAATAATATTAAACAAATATTCTCTCACGTTATGTGAATGAATGATCACAGTCATATTTTCAAGATTAAAATTTGGTCTTTAAGTAGATGTTTAATGAATAATGCTTTTATATTGCTAATGCATTAGTTTTCTGAAACATAATTGAAAATGAGTATTGGACCTGAGGACAGGAAAATTGAACTCCCTCTCGTGACAGACTGTGACACATAGATTTTTAAATCGTGATGTTTCGATTTTTGGATTTTGAAATTCGAAAAATCTATTCTATAATTTTAGCAAACGGGTTTATCATTCTACGACCCATGGCGTACATTTCTGTGAAAAAAACGCGTTTTTCTATGATTGCGAAATGCGTTAATGCTGACCGGTTTGACGCGTTTCACATCTGCTTAAACAAACGCTGTGGAATGATTGTTTTTCTAAAAAGTTCTATAGCGTTTCTCAAACTGTAGTGTCGTATATTCTAGATGGAAAAAAAACTGAAAACCGTCAATTACTTCACATATCTGAAGCTAAGATACAATTCACGTACTGGTTTACATTTTTTCATAGACCTTTAGAACTTTAACTTACATGAATTTTAATAAAGTCAAGATATGGATTCGAACACAAGAACATAAGAGTAGAAAAGATGTGTACAAACTGTTCAACTAAAATAATCTAACAAAACAAATACTTATTCTACTGTCATTCAGAGTCTTACTTAAACTTATTCAATTAGATTTTCAGTTTCTAATTCCAATGAATGAAAAACTATCGTTTCTTTGGTGCCTATATCCAATTACAAGTGTGATCTTCTTTTGATATAGTTTTTTTATTTGAATTCTTTCACATTTAAATTTAAATATCCAATAAAAATGAGTTTAATCGATGTAAATCGTGTTTAATATTTAAAATTGTTGCCTTGATTTAATAGATTTTTGCAAATGTAAATTCGCCATGCTTTTATGTAATTACATCACTAAATGGAAGCAGTTTTCTTTTGCCACCGTGACTTTTTTTGTTAAAAAGTCACGCTTACATCAACAATATACGAACTAAAACCATATTTAGTAGTATCGTACATAGTATCATCAGTCACTATCAAGTAGTCCAAATATGGATCCATATTAATAATTATTCAAAGTATAAATAACGCGAGAATTCTTTTGTTCAAAAATAACCAAACAAAGTTGTCGCATTCATTATATTAGCGTCAATCTTTAGAAAATCTTTTCGAATTGTTCAATCTTTAAAACAATTCTTGGTTGAACATTATGAAACGCGGTTTTTTTCAAAAAAAAATGTGTAGAAATGAGTTTTCAACGAAGAAGAATATATTTTTGTTACACTTTGATGTTCAATATTAGTCTTACTTCGAATCAGATTTAGATAACAGTATAGCAACCTAAATTCTTAGGAGAATTCAGTTGTAATCTTGATTTCAAAAAATTTGGGCCATGATTTTCATGTACTAAAACAGGACAAGGAGCAAAAACTTTCAAGTACCGTTTCATATGATTTCCAAAATAATGTCGAAGAATTCATTTTACTTAATTCATATGCCTTGTATGGATGAAGTCCTGCAAGATTCTGTAAGAAGAACGAACACATTTTGCATCATTACAAGCAAAACGCGTTTCACATTTTCTCCAATTTGTATTTGTGGAATGCGCAACCTGTCAATCAAAGTGTGCTCGATAACATTTTTCTTCGGAAATGCCTCGAAACGCAATTTCCAAAAAAGCGTTTTGAATCGTTTCAAAAAATGACGGTAGCAAAACGCATTCTATCTGAGCAAGAATGCTGCGAAACGCATGGTGCAATCTCGGAAACGCGTTACGCAGTCCATTTCCTTCAATATTTTACTCCATGTGGGACAATAATAAATTATTTTACGATTCGAACAATAGGGTAGTTTACTCTACAACTTTAACCAAAGGGTTCACTGTTCTATAGTTTGAGAAAAAGGGTTTATTATTTTTCTCTAGCAGAGTTTCTTATTCAAAGCACAATGGTAGATTATTTTACGTCTTTTTTACGATGTAGTCATTGTGATATTTGTCTTGCATCTTATGAGAGAAATAGAACAAAGACAATTTAGTTTAATTTTTTTTCTCTATTTAGTTATCACGATAAGCAATACAATTGTTTCTGATTTGCTATGACAAGCTTCATCTTATCCTCTCCGTTTTCCCTCAGTGACCAAATGCGATATATCAGAGATTTCTCCTAACTCTCTTTCATCACATGATTCATGAACCATTCATGGTTCTCCAGCATCTCATTACAAAAACAAAATAATTTAATTTAATTTGATTTTTTTCTTCTTCATTCAGGTATTCCTACAGTTTTCAACTGGATTGATAATGTAAGGATCGTTTCGATATCACACTCGTAAAGGTTGTATAGTTTAATGGAAATGTAATGTACAGCAAACCCTATAAGGATCTATGAATATTAATGAGTCTTTCAGAGGGAGATCTGCTTGTTTCCATCTCCAATGAAAATTACAAATTACGAAATACTTGGAATTTGACAGCTATGTGTTCGATTATATTCAAGTTTCAAGTTGTACACTATTAAAATTTTTGAGAAATATTCAACTGTTTCGAATCGATAAGAACTATTATGTTAACACGAAGAAAGGAAGAAAAAAAAAGGAATAGAACTACTTCAAATAAGATGTTGTCAACGGAGACCATTTAATTCTCAAGTATTTCGTTGTAGTCACTCACTTCTTTCAAGTATGTTGAAAGCCTGACAACGTTTTAACTAGTATTAAGTGTATGCATTTTTTTACTTGCCATGGCAATTTTTTCGTTTTCTCTGTTTCATTATACACTACAATGTTCACAGAAAGAGAAGTATCTTTCAATGTCAACAAAGTAATCGTCTAAGCAAAAAGTAACCATCGAATTTATAAAATGTGAAGAGCTTAAATAAACTGAAACTATTCGTTACCTATTAAATTTTTTCCTCTTACGAGTTGTACATTTGAATATATTATCGAAATAAATCTACATAATTCACTATGGGTTGTGGATCTTCATCAGAAACTCACGTTATTATTTCCACAGCGTCTTCATATAAAGATAAGAGTGAGTTAAAGAAAACATCTAATACTCCATTGAGTGCGACATCTCAGACTAGTAAAAAATCTGAAACTGGTTTGACAATCTTACAATCATCCAATGAAGGAAAAACATCTGCCAATCCGTCAATACATTCGCAGGATGATACCAAACACGATGTGGTTATTATATGGGTAGATCCTCATATAGATAGTACAGAAAAAAATTATCATAGTTCAATAACTAAACTTCAACGAATTACTAATATGATTCATACATTTACTAAATCTGATCAATGTATTGATTGTCTTACTACCATTAATGAGAATAATATTGCTCTTATTGTTTCGGCTACACACTGTGAACAACTTATACCACTTGTTATTGATAAATCAAAACTTAAATCAATTTATATATTTAATCAAGAAAAAGAAAAGCAAATAAATTGGACTAATAAATGGGAAGGAAAAGTAAAAGGAATGTTTTATGATATCGAACAGATCTTTCAAGCAATTAAAGTCAATAATAGTCAAACAACTAGTTCGAATTCAATCTGTATTCTACTAAAGAATAATATAGAAATGAAAGATAATGAATCCAATAAACTAGATCCATCATTCATGTATGCATATTTGCTTACAGAAATTCTTATCGATATGGATTATGATGATAATGCAAAAAATACATTCGCTGAATCTTGTCGTCTTCGATATATAGATGATGAAGAAGAATTGGCCGATATCGAAGAATTTGATCGAGATTACGAGAGTCAAATTGCTATTCAATGGTATACTAAAGATTGTTTTCTCTATAAAACGATGAATCGTGCTCTAAGAACTCAAGATATTAAAACTATTGTAGAAATGGGATTTTTTGTACGTGATCTTCATAAACAGATTACAGAAATGTATAAACAACAAAGTAATCAACAGAAACCAATGACAATTTATCGTGGTCAGGTTGTTTCATCTGATGAATTCGATAAATTGAGAAAAAGTAAAGGTGGTCTTATTTCATTCAATTATTTTTTGTCAACCAGTACTAATATTGATATTTCAAAACGATTCGCTAGAAGTTCACCAGAAAATAAACTCAATCCAGTACTCTTTGAAATATACATTGATCCAAACATATCATCTGTACCATTCGCTTCTGTCGATAGTATTAGTGTTTTCGAAGGTGAAGATGAAATTCTTTTCTCTATGCATACTATTTTTCGTATTGTAAAAGTTCAAGATATTCAGGATGAATATTTACTCATTAATCTACATCTAACAGATGAGAATGATTCAGAACTCATGAAATTAACTGATCATTTCAGAAAAGAAATTGGAGATGGCGATTCTTTGGAACGATTAGAACATTTAATGTTGAAAATGGGCGAATTCACTCAAGCTGAAAATATTCTAGGTAAACAACTAAAGTCTACACGCGAAGGAACATGGCATAAACAAACTCATCTCAATCATCAACTAGGATATGTCCATAGTCTGAAGGGTGATTATGAAATTGCATTATCATACTATGAAAAAGCACTCAAAATAGAATTGGTTAATCTTCCTGAAAATCATTCATTACTAGCTTCTACTTACAATAATATGGCTAGTACATATTATTCAATGGGAAATTTTTCGTCTGCATTGGTTTATTATACAAAAGCACTTGAAATTGAACAAAAATCTCTTCCTTCCGATCATCCCATGTTAGCTACTACCTACAACAATATTGGATCCGTTCATAATTCAACAGGTAATTACACAGAAGCACTTGAACTCTATCAAAAGACACTTAATATTCGACAAAAAACTCTTCCTGAAAATCATCCAGATATGGCTAGTATCTATAATAATATTGGATCGGTGTATAATTCATTGGGTGACGATCAAACTGCACTTTCATTGTATGAACAAACTCTTGAAATTCAAAAGAAAGCTCTTCATCCTAAACATATTGATCTAGCTATTAGCTATGGCAATATTGGTACAATATATAATTCAATGGGTGATCATGAAAAAGCACTTGAATATCATAGAAAATCATTTGAAATTCGAGACAAATCTCTTCCACCGAATCATCCTGACATAGCTTTGAGTTATAACAACATTGGTTCAGTTTATTATTCACAAGGAGATTATATGAATGCATTATCATATTTTCAAAAAGCACTCGAAATTTGTGATACATCTCATGCACGCAATCATATCGGTTTTGCTACTACTTATGACAATATTGGTTTGGTCTATAAGTCAATCGGTGATAAATCGGCTGCACAATCGAATTATCAGAAAGCATTTGATATTCGTCAACATTCTCTTGGTGAAAATCATCCTGATATGGCTATTAGCTATAATAATCTTGGTACAATATATAATTCAATGGGAGATAAATCGAAAACGTTTGATTGTTATCAAAAAGCACTTGAAATTCAACAAAAATCTCTCTCAGAAAATCATCCAAATATAGCACAAACTTACAACAATATTGGTTTACTTTATAATTCGATAGAAGAATATTCAAAAGCATTATCATCATATGAAAAAGCATTATCAATTCAACAAAATTCAAAATCCATAAAAGAACAATCCATAGCAATAACATATTATAATATAGGATCTACATATTATTGTATGAAAAATTATCCAATAGCTATTTCATTTTTTGAAAAAGCATTAACAATACAACAAAAAATACCGTCAATGAATTATCAAGATTTGGCAAACACTTATAATAATATAGGTTTAACATATTACGAAATGAATGATTATGAAAAGGCTATTTCATTTTATGAAGAAGCATGTACAATTTGTGAAAAATATCTTGCTAATGAAGAATCTTTATTGATAACTACGTATAATAATATAGCTGTCGCATACAATACTATGAATGATAAATCGAAGGCTCTGTTATTTTATGAAAAGATCGTTAAACTTCGTGAAAAAAATTCTACTACAAATGATTTATCATTGGTTAATATTTATAGTAATATCGGATCAATATATGATTCAGTGGGAAATTATTTGGACGCTATTAATTATTATCAAAAAGCAATGGCGATTGAAGAAAATGTATCATCAAAAAATGATCTTTTATTATCAAATACTTATAGCAATATTGCTGTCGCCTATAAACAGTTGGAAGACAATGAAAATGCTCTTAAATTTTATCAAAAAGCAATTAGTATTCGAGAAAATATTCAGGTTACTGATAATTCAGATTTAGCAATTATTTATAATAGTATGGCATTTATCTATCAAAAAATGAAGAATTATTCGGCTGCTGTAATCTTTTATCAAAAAGCGATAGCAATTGACGAGAAAACATTTTCTTCGGATGATGCAAAATTAGCAACAATATACAATAATCTTGCTGTCGCTTATCATTCTATGAAAGATGAAATAAATGCTTTGTCATTTTACGAAAAACTATTACCTATTCGAGAACGAATACTCTCTGTCAATGATCCATCATTAGCTTCAACTTATAGCAGTATTGCCTCAATTTATTCATCAAAAGGTATGAAATCAGATGCTGTTAAATTTTATGAAAAATCACTCAAAATTCATGAAACATTACCATCTCCTAATCACTCATTGATACATACGATGCATCTTAATACAGCAGTAATGTATGAAGATCTTAACAATCATGATGCAGCTGTTACACATGCCGAGCGTTCTCTCAATAATGCTCGCTTGGCTTTTAATCCTGATGATATAAAAATAAAACATATTCAAGATTATGTTGATATGCTTCATACGACTTCATGATTATATAAATCATAAAAACATGACAACATTGTCTGATTGAATTCAATAAAAGTTTTATCTCTATTGCCTTTATACGTATTGTAATCTGTTATGATGATTTGAAAAGATAATTAAATAGGGCAACATCTTGAGGGTTTAGGTATGGGTCAACAGCAATACTAACACTCATACCTGGCGAAACAATACAAGCTGTTGACAAAGTCATAGCTACCTGTCATCAGAAAAAATACATATCATCTGATAGTTGCCTAAGCATGGGGAGGTGTCATCGTCGGGAGTGAATGTGGATCCAAAGAATTGGACAATAGAGTTATAGAGTGTATCGTCGTAGAACAACCTTTTGATTGCGTTGTGCATATACTACCCAACGTTTCTGATTAAACTTTCGATCAAAACAGGTCATGATTTTTGATTGCAAAGGGTGCGCTGGTGTGATTTCATGTTCGTCAGCTGAATTTTTTTCAAGTAGAACAATAGAGTGTTGCTCAGACTGTGCAGACAAGTGAAAATAAATCATAATCCTATAATCTTGCTCGAGAAGGGCATCAACATGTAACCGTAGTCCTGGTGAAAGAATGACTTCCTGTTCGTATGAATAATTTGTGTAACCGCTAATATCTCGAGCATTCAAATTCGTTGTCCTACGGAGAACGTACGCCTCGTCAGACGCTACGATCTTGTGGGCGAAGAGCAACGTTCAGAACTTGATAGAGACTATTGTTGTCCCATTCTATGGTATGGCAATAATTCGAAAATCATGCCATTAGTGAACATCTTCTTCAAACGTTGTCCTCATGTATTGTTGAACATAATCTAGAGATAAACGAACGCTGATTGATCCTTCGTGAGATCATGTTTATTCGGATAAAGACAACGCTCTTTGGACACTTTGATATAATCAGCAAGGCCGTCGTCAGTGGTTGAATAAGCTCAATAGCTTTCTCTAGCGATACGAGCAGTTGTTTCTTATAAGTATAAATTAGATTAAGTTGATTGTCATTTGTTACTGTTTCATCGATAAAAACGAACTGCAAACCATTGATTCGAGTTCGTCATTACTTCAATGAATAAAGTTATGTTCTTTCGTTTAGAAAATATCATTTTTTAATGAGACGATCAATTCATTTATATTTAACATATGACTAGTGTTCTTTTGGAAGTTTTCATCGAATTCAATTCCTATCTCTTGAATTGATTTGCATCTTTTTAGAGAGTGTGTGAGTACGAATGTGGATAAAGATGATGATCCGACTCATATTCATACTCACACTCCAGACGTTGATAGATCCTTTTTTTTCTGTTTATACAGATGTGGAATATTAGTCTGATAAGATGTGAATGGCAACGAATTCTTTGAGTACGCTAGAATTCTTATAGAAAATCAAATTAAATCTTCTGATAGTAATTATATTTGGATCAATCTCTGACCTTATGTTATTTCACAGATATTTTTAAAACTTGTTATGAACTGAAGTGTTCCCCTTCATTCATAAGACGAAACAAACAGAATAAGATACACTCCTTTCTAGTACAGTGGTTAATACGACTGCCCGGAAAGCAAGAGATGCATGGTTCGATTCCATGCGAAGGGAGATTATTCTTTTGTTTCGTTCTGTAATACCATCACGTTGCTGTCTCGGTGATATCAGAGTATAATATGAGAGTGCGAGCATTAAAGAAAAGAAATAAGACATAACAAAACTAACATTCTCTATAATACATTTTGGCGAATATCTTAAGAATGGTTTACGATAAAACACTACTCTTCGTACTTCTGAAATCAAGACAAGCAAGCTTTTCTTTGACAACCTTCATCTAATCGTTCTAAGTTTCATCGATCTCAAAATTATCACTATCTTTACGACTAGACCACGTATGATATCAATATAGAGCGATACATGCCAACAGTATCGAGTTATATAAAATATCAATTGTCATGATACAAATTCAATGTTTTTATTAGAATTAACCCCAAGGTATCTTATTGGCGTCAGAAAAAGATAAGCATGTATCTCATTATGGTCGATTAATAGGTTTTATTACTGCTAGAAATCTTAAGATCTGTCCTGTTTGCAAGCATTTAGGATTATATAATTGGTTTATAATGAATTTTTATCATTAAATATCGTTAGCATGATTCTTTATATGAAAAAAAAGGATGTGGACGTGGATATGATGTATGAAGCGTGGAGTGTCCTTGTGCATCTTCTATTCACCTACAGTCATACGAGCACGCACACATTCTCAAGTGTGTGCGCTGCGCAATTCGCCATCGCCATAATTTCACATGCTGAGCAAATAGTTGAAATCTGAATGGCACAGTCATAATAGAAATTAAATGGGTATTTTTGCAAGAAATCGATGATTATATTTGAGGTATTTTACTTCGATTTCTCGTTAGAAGTGAGTCATTATGACGTCAAATAAAACCCAGTCGTCATTAGCTGTCTGGCCGTCTGTGAGAGTTTTTTGCGTTCTACCTTACTTTGATAACGATACGTCTGTAAGATGAGCCGTTTTCTTTCTTTCTGTCTAGCATTGATCTCCTCACGCACAGTAATAGAATAGCAAATGCAGCTGTAATGTGAATCAGACGTCATTCGTCAAAATGAAATCTTATTTTTGTTGTGTGCCGCATCGACGAAGAAATGACTGGTCGTTAAGAATGTGTGTCATTGTGGGAAATACGTAATCGGAATTAAAATAGATGTGTAAAAAGAAAATATCCAACCGATGACATAAGAATATGTAACTGGTTTTGCGTAAGATCTAACTGAGAAAAAACCTGACCATTAATATATAAAAAAGGCATTCTTAGATTCAGACCATCCCACATCTGTATTTACGTGCTTATTTAATTTTCATCATCTTATTTTCAAAAATGGATCGATATTCTTCTCGTACGGAGGCAATTTGTGTATGTGCATTCAAAGAATCATCCGATAATGAACAACGGCAACATTTAACCAATATACCATCATCCAATCTCGGCTCGTCTCATGATCAAGAATATCAAACTATATTCAAGAATAAAGGAATGAGAAAAGCCGAGCAAGTTCTTCGATTCGTTAATGATGAATATCGACTATGGCGATCCAGATCGACATTAAAATCCAGCAGTGACGAGGACTGGACGCGTTTGCGCAGTTCAACGGCTGTGGTGTCCATTGGAGGAGCGGATGGATCTGAACTGCTCGCACTCTTGAAGGATCTAAATTCTCGTCATGGGATTCTTGTGGAAATTAGTTCATGTGCAGCTGCTGAGGCCCGTGCTAATGGCATTAACCATGTGATTGAGGCTGATGTCATGGACGCTGCACAAGAAGTCGTATCAACGTTACTCAACTTGCAAAAACAAGGCGAAATCTCAGTCGTTCTATTCAGCTGCCAATCAGTGCTACATGAACTACCTACTCGTTCACCAAAATTCACCAAGGAAGCATTTCTAAATGCATACTTAATGCCACTAATAGCATCGGGCTTACGAACGATGTTTTATGCTCGGGAACCATGTTCACCATCTAATTGGTCGCTCGAAACTGATTTGATTGCTATTCGTTTGTTCAACTTACACAAAAATGATGTGGAAAACGTGGCTTATCATATTGCCAACAAATTCAACATTCAACAATTGGACGATTTAAGGAATAACTTGACTGATAATGAATTTTATAGTACCCTATTAGCTGCTGATAATGACGACGAGAAAGCACGGGTAGTTTTGCCGGTGACTTTGGGTCAAGAGGTTCTGTTCAAACTGCTCTACTGGAAAAACATAGCTCACTTTGAATATGAGATGGGAGAACAATTGACTTCTTTTCAACCCGACCGTTGGTCTTCATTGCTGAAGAAGATGGGTATGTACACCAGAATATCGTACCTTACCACGGAAAATTTCACAAACCTGTATCAAAGCGAAGAAACATTAATTGGAGAACCAATTGCTGTGAATGTGCGTAATGGTAATGCTTTACCAATACCCCAGTGTTTTGCACAAATATTTTCATCAAATATCAATGTTGAAAACACACGAAATCAACTAGTACATCAGGCTTTGAGCATACTGTAGCTGATAGAACATTCGTTCTAAAAAGTCTGATGTTTTTTTTGCATCCATATAACTGAACTCAAAAGTTGCAATACAGTCAGTTCAAACTATTCTAGAATAATTCAATGTCTTTCCGTTGATGTTTAATTGAACTTTATTTTTTTTTACTGTTTGACGTTTCTGTGAAACATGCTTTTTTTATTGCTTGTGTTCTTTCTATGAATATAGTGTTCTATAAATGAATTGACGACAAAAATATTCAACATTTCCACTCTGCCTAAATCAATAGGGTTAATTCTTTTCTTGATGATGGATGGGTGTGGCCGGAGGGTGTCGCTGTCCGTGTTTTGTGAAACACGATCTGAAAGGAGTGTTGAAGCGTATAGGGTAGAAATTTTGGACCCACTCTCCCCCCCCCCCCCCCCCCCCCCCCCCCCCCCCCCCCC